ATACCTGCAGGTGTAGAGGGCCACATGGGTCACCACTGGAGATCGAGGTCAGGCGACTCAGTGTGTCAGCTGTCACTGTGACAAGGCTCTTCCCTCACAGTAATTCTTGTCACCAGGAGAAAGTCTCTGTTTGGTGACAGTAATTCTTTAACACTTCCCTAACCCTTGTAAGTCTCCCTGAAAAGGAGGATCCAGGGGAGCCCCAAGCTGGGTGTAGTGGGCAGGTCCTTCCTTGTAAGGCATGCTTATGGGGGCCTGGTGGTGGATGCCTGTCATCCCAGCTCTCAGGAAGCTGAGGCAGGAGAGCTGCCATGAGAGGCTGGCACTCTGAGATCCCATGGAAATCCAAAGCTAGGGCTGATGGGACGGCTCAGTAGGTAAAGGTGCTTGCTACCAACCTGACGACTTGCGTTTAATCTCCAGACCCCACATGATGGAAGAGAGCTGACTCCTGCACGTCGTCTTCTGACTTCCACACATACGCTGTGGCATGAGTGCTTCCCCCAGTAGATACATGAAACAAATAAATAAATGTAACTTAAAATGCTTTAAATATTTTTTATTATTTTCATTTTATGTGTATGAGTGTTTTGCCTGCATGTATGTAAGTATACCATGTACTTCTGGCCCCGCAGAGGCCAAAAGAGGGTGTCAGATCCCCCAGAACTGGAGTTACTGATGGTTGTTAGCTGCCTTGTGGGTTCTGGGAATCAAACGTGGGTTCTCTGGAAGAACAGCAAGTGTCTTAGCTACTGAGCCATCCCTGCAGCCCCTAAATTTTTAAAAAATTTCAAACGAAACAGTAAAACCTGCCTTGCCCCACACCCTACTTAAGCTCACAGGTTAGTTTCTGCAGACAAGATGGCACTCTAAGGTTTGAAAGGAAAATTATTTGGGCAACAGAAGATGAATGAGCATGGAACTATTGGATACATGGAAGTGTAGTGTTAGGCCAGGATGGGTGAGGCCACTTGGGGCCTGGAGCCCTGGCTGGTGGCTGAGGTCTCAGCCTTGCCCCATTCCCTTCTAAGTGACTGTGAGCCCTTTAGTGCCATCGTCCGGTGGGGGTGGGGGTCTGTCTCCTTGCTCAGAGCTCTCGGCAAGCCCAGACCACACTGAGTCCTGCCCACCTTCCAGCCTTGCTGCTGCTTGACCAGAGGTGGACCCAGGGTAAGTAGGCCAGGGACTGACGGTGCGACACTGGGGACAGACCCATGGAACTCCAGAGCTGACCACTGCTCAGGACCCATCCAGAGAGACAGAAGTGGGTCTGGAGGACAAGGAAAGGAAGAAGGGGGAAGGACCGGGAACCTGGGTTTCCGTTTCGAACTGCATGGTCACAGAGGCACTGATGATTTGTCTCTCCCTTTTGGACCTCACCTTGACTCCCTCTCCCATAATCCCTCTGTGCTAGAGGCTGCCAATCCAAGGGCCAGCAATGGGCTGTTATTGGACCTGGATCACTTTGTTTGGCTGGAACAGTCCTGCTGCCAACCCCAGGAGTCAGCGGGACGGGTGGGTACTGGGAGGCGTAAGGCTCCAGACCTTCTTTGTATGAGAACGAGTCATGTAAGATGAGCCTGCCATTATTATTATTATTTATTATTATTATTGAGGCAGGGTTTCATGTAGTTACATCATATGCAGAATTAAGACCAGATTTTTAAATATTTTATTTATTTTTTATTTTATGTGTACGAGTGTATTGCCTGCATGTGTGTGAGTGCACCCGTGTGTAATGCTGGAACTGGAGTTAAGGATGGTTCGTAGCCGCCATGTGGGTGCTGGGAATCAAACCCAGGTCCTCTGCAAGAGCAGTCAGTGCTCTTAATTGCTGAGCCATCTCTCCAGCCCCAAGTCCAGATTTTTAAAGCCAGGCATGGTAAACATGTAATCCCTGTGCTTAGGAGGCTGAGACAGGAGGATCATGAATTTGAGGCCAGACTGGACTACACAGTGAGAACCCATCTCCAAAAATAAAATAAACAAATTTAGGAAACAGGCAGTGCACAGTGGCACATGCCTTTAGTCTCAGTACTAAGGAGGCAGAAGCAGGTGGATCTGTGAGTTCCAGGCCAGCCTGGGCTACACAGTGAGCTGTGACACAGCCCAGCAGTACATGCTTGCCAGGCATGTCCACTGTTTCACTGATAGGCAGTTTTCCATCTCATAACTTGATCCCGTGTCATTGTTAAGAGGTGTTGGCTCTGTTGATGTTATACCCACCACGCTGCCTGCCTGTCCGCTGCCCCAGTCCTGAGCGAGGCTGAGAGTTGGGGGTCCTGACCTGGCTTAGTGACCAAAGGTAGGAGACACCGGAAGATGCAGACTCCCTGGCCCCTGTTCCCTGTAAGATGAGGCTCCCTGGCCCTTGTTCCCAAGGCCAGTTAAAATCTGGCCCCCAGCCCCCACCCAGCTTGGCCTTGAATAGAAAAAACGACGTGGACACTGGGGTTGAGGCATGTTGGGCCTCATTTTAATACAGTTCCCTGTTATTCCTGTGGACTCGATGCAAGATCAGAGCTTCTCTCACATGGAGCACTCAGTGTGCACAGCACACACATCACATCATGGGTCGACAACTGTGTCAACTACAGATGGATTCTGAAATGGCGGCAACACAGAACCCTCAGACAGGAGCTGGAAGGTCTTCTAAAGGTTCAGTTGTGTGAGGGGGATGGGAGAGGGCCACTGACTACAGGTGGTCAGGAAGGAACACAGCCAGAATCAACAGCTGTGGAGAGTCTCATGGAGCCTGTGAGGCGGTTCACACCTGTAGTCTCAGCACTCGGGTGGCTGAGGCAGGAGGGTATTGCTTAAGTTGGAGGGCAGCCTGGGTTATGGAGACGCTGTCTCAAAAAAATCCCCAAAAAACACAAAATATAAGAGGGGTGTAGCTCAGTTGATAGAGTACTTTCCTGGCATGCAACTGGATTCAGTTCCCAGCACTTAATAAACCGGATGTGGTGGGGCACACATTTGTAATCCCAGGCAGAAGGATCAGAAGTTCAAGGTTATCCTGAGATATATAACAAGTTCAGAGCTAGCCTGGGCTATGAGACCCTGTCTAAAAAAACAAAAAATAAACCACAAATAAAAACAAAGTCGCTGGGACGTGGCCTGTTGGGGAACACCAGTAGTCTAGGTACTTAGGAGATGGAGACAGGAGGATTATGAATACAAGATTACCCTGGACTACATATCAAGTTTGAGGCCAGCCTAGGCTACATGAGACCCTGTCTCAAAAAAAAAAAATACAACAACAAAAAAAATCAGTTCATCTTAGATGACCGTAGCCCATCACTACGTGAATACAATAAAACACAGTTCACAGTTCCCCTTCCTCCCCCCAAAAGAACATGAAGATCCTTGACAACCATCGACAGTCCTGGAGCCTAGGGCCTGGTTTTAAGGAGAAAACGGCATTATACATTAAGGTCGTCAGACAGGACAGTCTGGGATGTGGCCCTGCCTCAGCTTCTGGGCGTGACTTCTTCCCCGTCAGGCTGGGGTACAGAATAGTATTTTAAGTGTCTGATTAACATCCAAACAAAGCGTTTTCGAAAGGAATGTGAAAGACAAAAAAACGCCATCAGATTTCCCCTCTTAGCCCTCGGTAGCCTCCCATAAAGTTAATTCTGGAGTGAGCTCAGAAGGTCCCTGCAGAGTCTTAAAGTCTTGAGGAAAAGCATCTGGGGCATCCGAGGTGGCGAGCTAAGGTCATTTTGTATAAACGCTAAAAAGTCATTCATTAAAATTAAATGTTGGCCCTCACCTCCACACTGTTTTTTAGGCACTGCTGCCCCTGCCTCTTGCATGGTTGGTTTCTGGGACAGGGGTTATATTCGCAAAATATATAAAGAAAAAATATAAGGTTACTTGGTGACCATACAGCGCACTGCCGACAGCTGGCTGCAAATATTTTCACCATGAATCCCCTTACTAAAAGTAATCACAGAATAAAGATAGCTCAGATATAGTAAGGATCCCTCAGGGCGCACGATGCTCTCCGCCATCCCTTAGGGCTCAAATGGAAAAGAAACTGCAGACTGCGCCCAGCGGGGCGTCCACCAGTGCGCAGAGCTGAGGTAGATGGGCATAGAGCACAGCTCACACCGGGAACAGCCTCCTGCAGGCACACAGCATTGGGGGCTGCCCAGCATTAAAAAGGACAGTTCCCCAACACAGAGTTCCAGCCCCACGCTCCCCAATCCGGGAAGCCTGTTTTCATTTTGATTTTTTTTAAAAATGCATTCTCTGATATCACAAGTTTCCAATCACAAATTATAAATTCATCACCAGAGTCTGGGTTGTGGTGTGCATGCACACCATGGTCCATTTCCCGGTTCCTTTGCGTGCAATTTACAAAGGTCTCTGCCTTTTTTCCAATTGCTACAGCCGTGTGCCCGGTGGCCTGTCCCCTTATCCCCCCGAAAAGGCAAACAGGAGTTTATAAAGTTGTCTAAGGGTCTCTCCCATCTGGTAGGTCGAGGAAGATTGACTGCTATCGAGTTCAAAGGTCAGTCTTGGCCGGTCTAAAAACAGAACAGCAGGAGGACTTGCAAGGCTCACTTTCTGTCCCATTCTGTCCCCAGAGTAAACCGATATGTCCTGATCCATTCCAAGGGGCACCGAGGGAATGGGGCTGCTGGAAGATGCTCCCAATGGAGAGACCAGACAGGCACAGGGTCCTTCCTCTTCCTGCTGGCTTCCGAGGCCCCAACAACCTTCCAGACAGGGTGGCCAGGTCTGTTGGAATCTGATGTCACCGAGTTTTAGAAAACAGTAGCACATCCGTGAGTTTGACAGTGGAGGAAATTGTTTGTTTGGTGTTTTTTTTCTCCCAGAAAATGGAAATACACAGAATTATAAATAATTGGGCATCCATATATACATATTTAAATAATTAATTTAAATATCTTACACCAGCTCTGGCATTCAATTCTCCAAGCAGAGAAAGAGCTCCAGTCAACCCAGGCTGAGGTGGGGCTCCAGGAGAGTCACAGCCTGGGGAGGAAGTGGGTGACCTTCATGGTGGGAGACACCCGGTTCCCCTTCTTGGTCTTCCCAGTCTTGCTGAGGGCAATGAACAAGCCAGGATACTGGTGGGATTCATAGGCGTTGTAGTTATTAGGAAGCAAAATCTCTTTGAACTTGCACTCCTGGGTGAAGAAAGGCTGAGAGGAAGACAAACCCAAGGTGAGCCAGGGGTGGTACAGTCCTGGCCCAAGAGGTCTCTGCTAGTCAGGGCATCCAGATTGTCCCAGGCTGAGAGGGAGGATGATCAGCCCATCTGGCTGGGGCACAGCCCACCTGTCGTGTCCCTATCAACCATGTGTCTCCTGCCTGCTAGGACCAACTCTCTGGGTACAGACAAGGGCTCCTACAGGATCAGGAAGTGCCCACCAGGTGATGGAAGGAATTTATGGGGTAGCTCCCTTGGTCTGGGGGTGGGGGTGGGGGGTGCTGATGGCGATCCAGCCTGCCTCTGGCTGCTTTTGCGGGGAGTACAGGTGTGTGACTGCAAACTTTAGGACCTGGTGACCCCCTCACTGCCCGCCAAAAGTGGGTCTGGGGGGAGGGGTTTACAATCCGGCCAGCCCCGCCCTGATCCCAGCAGGTGCCCTGCCCCACCCCGGGACACTCACCACGCCGTAGAGCTTGCCCCTGTTGCTCATGGCCACGAAGAACCGGCTGGCCACTCCGAAGATGCTCACTACACCCCGTTGCACCGGAGAGAGCTCCAGCAGACCTGGGGGTGGGGCGCAGGTCAGGAAGGAGTAGGTGACCCCGAGTCCACACCGCCACACAGCCTATCAGCCTCTAGGGACCTCAGTGCTGGTCTGAGTGAAGGTAAAGGGCCGAGAGTCCTCAGAGGAGACATTAGAAGCCAGTGGCGTGCACCCAGTCCGGGACCCGCAGGAGCCGGGCGGCCCCAGTGGCCCCCAAGCTTGGCCCCAGCCTGGGCGAGCGTCCCGAGGCCCAGTGCCGCGCCTAGAGCTCTGTGCCCACGGGCTAAGGCGCTGGAATTCGGCACTTGGAGCCCAGGCTTCCGAGGGCGGGGAGGCGGGTACGGCAGGCCGAGTGCGCACGGCCGGTGACCCCCCGGCAGGAGCCACGAGCGCGCGCCGGCCCTGCGCCCTAAGGGAACCAGAACCCGAGTTCGCAAGGTTCCCAGGCCAGGTGGACAGGGGCCCGACCTGGAGCTGGCTGGCTGGGCTGGAGGAGCCAGTTGCTGCCCAGGGGTCCCCCACCCGTCCCCAACGCGCTGGCACTCACTGTCGCTGGTGTCGGCGTGCACGCCTCCGATGCGGCCGTCGGGCAGCACCTGGAGGTGGAAGCCGATGCCCACGTTGCAGTAGAGTCGTCGCAGCCTCTTGATGCCCAGCAGGTAGTCCCCGGCGCCGCTCTGGACCGCAGCCTCCGGGGGCTGCGCGGCCACCGGCAGCCGCGCCAGCGAGCGCGCCACCAGGCTGTCCCAGCGGCGCTCCAGCTCGGCCTCCAGGGTGCCATTGGGTGCGGCGGGTGCGGCGGAGCCTCGGCCGGCCCAGGGTAGCAGCAGGGCCAACAGGACTGCCGGGAGGAGCGTCCCGGCGGCGGGTCCCGGTCCCGCCATCCAGGCCCGCGGCCCGAGCGTCCGGAAGCCCGGCGTGCGCACTGCGCCAGGGGCAAGGCTTTGGGGGCGCGGGGCGGCGGGGGTCCCCCGGGCTCGCGCTGCTAGCGGTGGTGCTGAGGAGGGTCCCCGGGGCTGAGCGGTGGCCGCACACCTCCCTGCGGCCGGGCCCGGGACCAGCCGCGGTATATATAGCCTGCGCCCCCTCCTACTCCACCGGCCCGCGGGGGGCCGATCGCGTTTGCCGGGAGCCCGGACGCAGGCTGCCTGCCAATCACCACCCGGGAGGAGGCGCAGGGACCCGCAGCAGCTACTGTCACCTGGAGAGACCCCGGCCCCCCAGCCTTGGCTCCGCCCAGCCCTCGAACCTGTCCGTCCCGCCCTCCTCGGCTTTTCACTCCTGCTTGGCAAAGTTAGGCGCTTGGCTTCCCGGGGTCCCTCCCTCTCTCCATTTCTCCCACTTCTCTTGTATCCCGGGACTCCTAGGAACCGGTCAGAACCTGGATCCTTTCTGAAGTGTTCGGGATGGCCGGGGGTGGGAAAGGCAGCAGGCCTGTGGCCTGGCTGGGCAGGGAGTCAACCTGGAGGGCAGCTCCGAGGCTGGATCTGGTCCCAGAGGCTAGGAGAATTAGCGGTCTGCCAGGTGGAGGAAGGCCTGGGCAGGCACTACAGGATGGGTACCTTTGAGAGAAGCCAGGAGCAGGGCACCCAGGAAGGGCACGGCCCTAGCGTCCCCTCCCAGGGACTACAACGGCAGGGCAGAGGTCGTCAGTGCCCTACTCCTGGTTCCACAGCAGGAATTTTCAGGTATGGTGGCCAGAGGGCCCCCTCCCCCATGCAGCAGGCCCCAGGAGCAGGCTCTAGAACCCCCACCCCCAGCTCCCACTGTGACCATGAGAAGTCTGAAGCCAGCAGGTGACCCCGGCCAAGCTGCAGGAGGTTGAAAGCCTGCCCCAACCCCTTACCTGGAGCCAGAGCCTCCCCAGACCACTTCCTCCACAGGCCCTTGGCCCTAGGACTTGTACTCCAATCACACCAAAAGGGACCCAACTACAGGTCCGAAGGTCATCTGCTGTCCTCAGTAGGGCCACATCTCACCTCCAAACCTGTGGCTGAGGCACCAAGATGCAGCTAGCAGCCTGGGCTCCCCAGGGCCTCTGATGGTCTGTAGAGGTGACACCCAGGGGACCCTGTTCCAGGGAGCAGAGCCTGCCCCAGCTTGTGGGGACTTGTTCCTTCCCATCTCTGGGTCCCTGACCCCCCAGTTGTGAAGTGGTATGTATGGAAGGGGGCCTGCAGACCTCAGTCTGGGTGCTTCTGGGGAGCTGGGACTCAGACCTGGAACAAACCGGTGCCATTGCCCAGTGCAGAGACTTCGCTGCTCCATCTGCTCCTGGGGGTTGGGGAGTGGGGGGCAGGTTCCCAGACATCTCAAGGCATGTTCAGTTCCCAATGCCTCCCTGACTCAGGACCTAGCAGGTGGAAGTGCTGTGGATGCTCTTGACAGAGAGGCAGCCAGCCCAGTGGCTCTGGGATCTGGCTCCTTCCCTGCACCATGGTTCCAGAGCCTACTGTAACACCTGCAGGCCCAGCCTCCTCCAATTTCAGTAGTGCCTGGAGGTCTGACCTGGTCTGCTAATAGACCCCTATCCTGAACCTCTCCAACTTTCCAGCCTCCCCACTGGAAGGAAGATTTTCCTGCCTGCGACTCTTCCCCCTTAGGGCTGCCTGAGGGTGGCAGTCTTTCAGGGAAGCCCTTTGCTTATCACTGGTTCACACCTCTTAATCCCAGCACTTGGGGGGCAGAGTCAGGGGAATCTCTGTGAGAAGGAGGCCTGCCTGGGCTACACAGAGAGTTCCAGGCCAGAAAGAGAAACAGAATAAGACCTTGTCTCAAAAAAGAAAAAAACAAAAAAATCTTCATTTGTGATCTGATCGCCCGTTGCTTAGACAGTCATCACAGAGTGACCACAGGTTTAGGTCTTTCCAGAGCTTGGTGCAATGTAGGTGTTCAGTAGGTGCTGATGGTCAGTGGCTACTGGCTAAGCTGGGCTTGAAGCTCCTTTACCAGCAAAGTGCTCCATTTGAGGCTCAGGTGCCTGACAGACAGGAGGGGAAGGTGACGTAGAGACAGAATGGCTGAGCTGAGCCCTGGCCCTGAGCCTTCTGCCCTGCCACACCCCGAGCCTACCGATGAAGAACTTGGGGCACAGAGGGACCTGTAGACACCCTGGGCTCTGCAGCCGCCAGCTCTGGGTTCAGAGCTAGCCTCTAGCCTGCAGGTTATCTGTGTCCTTTCACTTGTAACTGCTTTCTCTATCCCATCTGCATACAAAGTGAGTCTAAGAAATCATGGCAGCTGTGGGCTGGAGAGATGGCTCAGCGGTTAAGAGCACTGGCTGCTCTTGCAGAGAACCTGGGTTCAGTTCCCAGCACTCCGGTGGCCAACAACTGTCTATAACTCCAGTTCCAGGGGATCCGACGCCCTTTTCTGACCTCCTCGGGCATTGCATGACACAGGTGCAGTTACACACATGCAGGCAAAACACTCACACAGATAAAATTAGTTGAAAAAAGAAAGAAAGCATGGCGGTTGTGGGCTGGGCTGCTCAGCTGGCAGAGTGCTTACCCTGGTCTCTGTCCCCAGCACTGGATAAATCAGATGTGGTGCCTCATATCTGTAGTCCCAGCACTCAGGAGGTGGAGGCAGGAGGATCAGAAGTTCAAGGTCATCCTTGGCTACTTCCAGAGCTGAAGGTGGCTCAGACAGGGCCTGACTGACGGCAAGGCTCTGTTGTGATCCATTGGAGACTCCACACAGAAATCACCCTCCAGTGAACCAGTGCACCGAGGCTGACAGGTGATCCGGTGGGACTAGGTTCCGTGTTGAAACCCAGGCCTGGAGCCCTCAGGAGTGTGACCTTGCGTGACCTAGGCTTAAAAACTCACTTCTTCCTGGGAGCACGGCTTCCCTTCACCAACAGCTCAGGCTGTTAAGCGCTCATTGGCTTCATCCTCATGAGAATAAAAACGTGATGCATGAAAATTGGATTCTAAGCCTCAGGGCAGGAGGCTCAGCCAGGGGCAGGGCCCAGAGTAAACTTTTCAGATCACTGCACTACTCTCCCAATTCAAATCCCTATTCTGCCCTCAGCTAGCCCCTCACCAGCACCTGTATCTGGGGGTGTTGGGGAGAGATCAGTCTGTGGCACTTTGGGGAGGAAGGACACTGTCTTTAGGGCCTCCAAAGTAAGGGGGGTTGGCTAATATTTTAGCTTTTTTAAAAAACACAAAATCAACCATCTTTTATTTATTTTTTTATTTTTATCTTATGTATATGAGTGTATGGCCTGTATGTGTATAAATGCACCCATGTCCCACAGTCCACACAGAGGTCAGAAGAGGCGGATGGTTGTTAGCTGCCATGTGGGTGCTGGGAATCGAACCCAAGTCCTCTGCAAGAACAATCAGTGCTCTTAACCTCCGAGCCATCTCTCCAGCCCCAAAGTCCACCATCTTAACTTGTTTTTTTCTTTGTGGTGCTGGACATGAAGTCCAGAGTTTTGCACATGCTAGACAAATGCTCTACCATAGACTTGCATCCTCTCTCTCTCTCTCTCTCTCTCTCTCTCTCTCTCTCTCTCGACTGGTCTCACTATGTAGCCCCAGCTGGCCTGCAATTTGCTATGTAGACCAGGCTGACCTGGAACTCACAGAGACGCACCTGCTTCATTCTCTCAAGCACTGGGATCAAAGCCCAGTGCCATCATATCCAGCATCTTTTTACATTTTTTGTCTTGGGGTCAACAAAATAGCTCAGTGGGTAAAGTCGCTTGCTGCCAGGCTGAGTTAGACCCCAGGATGCACACAGTGGAGGGAGAGAACAGAATCCTGGAAGCTGTTCTCTGATCTCTATGCACATGATCACATATACACACACAATAAATTTAAATGTAATTTAAAATTTTAAGTCTTTCCCTTGAAACAGGGTCTCCTGGGCTAGCCTTGAGCTCAGTCTGTAGCCCAGGGAGGCCTTGAATTTGCTACCCTCCTGCCTCAGCCTTCTTAGGAGCTGGAGTGACAGGCTAAGGACATCCAGTGTCAGGCAGCCATCACCACCGTCCATCTCCAGAACATTCTCATCTCCTCAAACTGAAACCCTGTTCCCTTACATGCTGACTCATCCTCCCTACTCTCTTGAGCCCACATCCCACTTCCTGTCTCTGTGGAGCTGAGGTCTCTGGGGACCTTCAGGGATGGAGTCATGCAGTGAGCAGCCCTTTGTGCCTGGCCTGGCTTACTGCTTAGAACTTGTTCAGGGTCCACGTGTGTGTTAGAATCCCCTTCTTTTTGAAGACTGAATAGTATTCTACTATTTGACCCTCTTTCTTCATCCCTTCCTATGTCTGTGGACGCTTGGGCGTTTACTGAGGATTCGGTGAACATGCTATCTTGCTGCAGACCACACGTCTGTGCTCCTGTGTGTCTGACCCCTTGCAGTTCTTCTAGGATTATACCCAGAGGTAGAACTGCTGGGTTTCCTGGTGATTCTACCTTGAAGTTTTTTGCACACTGCTCTCCTGTTGCAGACATTGTCCTTGGTGGTAGTGGGGACTGAACCCAGGACATCATTCACCCACCTGCTACTTAGCCCATTTCAGAGATTGATTGATTGGCTTATTGATTGATTGATTGATTGATTGATTGATTGATTGATTTGTGACAGGGTCTCCCTGTATCCCCACCTGGCTTGGAACTCACTATGTAGACCAGGTTGGCCTCAACCTCACAGAGATCTGCCTTCCTCTGCCTCCTGAGTGCTGCAATTAAAGGTATTCACTCCGGGGCTGGAGAGATGGCTCAGCAGTTAAGAGCACTGACTGCTCTTGCAGAGGACCCGGGTTCAATTCCCAGCACCCACATGGCGGCTATGAACCATCCTTAACTCTAGTTCCAGGGGAATCCCACGCGCTCGTCTGACCTCCACAGCATTGCATGACACG